TACATTTTACACTAAAATTTTTAATAACTGGATAATATGCTACATGAAATTGGTCTTACTTTTTTGTGTGTTCTTGATGCTATCATGGAATGGAGGACGTTCAAGCTATTTTGTCTCAATTTTTTTCTCTTCTTGAAATTGGAGGATTTTGTCTCTACTGCAAGCTTCTTTCATAGCACAATGGATCTCAGGTAAACCTCTAGCATCAATTTCCAAAACACTATGTATTGGAATAGTTATTGAAAATACTCCACTGGCTCTTAAATTGCAACCTCTTAGTATGCTGTTAAAATAGAATTCATACTGTTTCCATAGCCAAACAGGATATTCCCCTCCGCTAACTTTGAAGATCATTGTAGCCACGATTATAAGCATCTATTGTTTTTAGAGCATTAAGGCTGAATTTTCTTTGATGACTCCATTGTGAGCTTTTTATTTATTTTACTTATACCACCATTTTTCTTATTGTGCTTTGAAGGTAGGTGGTTGGCGGAATCAGAATTCTTTTTTACTTGGAAGGATAATAGTGTTTGTCTCATGCTCCAGATAATGGTAAAACACAATTTAATTCGTTTCATCTATTTGAAATACGTAGTAAGTTTTATGTTTTTTTTTGTTAATTTTAAATTTTGTTTGGAAAGCAAAGAATTTTTTAGATTAGTGGACTTAATATATGGGTTATATGGCAAACTATCATGTTTGTATATTATTATTATGAATCTTGCATGTCCAGGGTAGTATTTTCTAATCAAGGGTGAAATTTTCATATGCCCTCTTGAAAACAGGTTTGTATCTGGTGTTGAAGCCTCAAATAGACTCTACTCTGCATCTGGTGTTGAGGCGTCATAGTGGAGTTATCAGCCTTCTTTGATAGCATTGGCTAGGAAGTACAACGCTGATGAGAAAACTATTTGCCACAAGTATGTTCTCAATTCCTCATCATCAATATGTTCGCTTATTAATTATCTTTCACTGAATATACTTCTCTTTTTAAATTCCACTTCGAGTTCTCGAGATTGAGATTTCTCAACTCTCAATTCATCCTAACTGCTGCCCGTTGCTTTAACGTAGTGTAAGGGATGATGCCCAAAGAAAGGCCGTATATGAGCCGTGCTCTCTTTGTCTGTCATTCGCCAGAGTCAATCGTAAGCTTCTTCCATATATCTCTTTTGTTTATTTTAGGCAACTCCCTTTTTGAACCACACAAAATAAGGTTCTGTTTTAACCTTTAAAACCGAATAATTGGAACGTACACAAGGTCTAGGGTTCTTGCGCTAGCCATTCCTTTCGTTGAAGCAGTAGCTTAACCCGAGCCGTTGAGTTTTAATTTTGTCTAATGATTGTGCAGCTCTTGGCAGAGGCGAAGTCAACAGGGGTAGGTAACACCTATTCTTGCAATGATGCTTCCCTCTAGCGGGATTCTTGAGGTATTTTTTATGTTTGTTTTGGTTTTCTTCCAGAGGGTAAAACCTGTTCTTGCATACTCCTTTGCTGCACATGGTTAAGTTTTAATTTATTTTCACAACCGTAAGAACCTCTATAGCTAACTCCATGTTTGGTAAACTCAAATGGGGCTGTTTTAGGTATATACATAATCATTTTATTTGACATTCATCTGTGTACATGGTGTAAAATTTTGTAAAATATTTGTTGGCATCATGGAGCTTTGAAATAATTTCTCTTCACTTTTTTGGTGAAAAGAAGAGAAAGGAGATTGCATGTTATGTAAAGTCCATATTTTTTTTCTTTAAGTTTATGTGAAGCACTATTTATGATTAACTATTCTAGGATGCAGTGATGAACAAAGAAAACAATGCTACTATGTGCACCATTTCTGTTCAATTATTAAGAAACTTTTTGTCTGTGTT